TGCATCCATGATTATCATCCTCTTGTCTGCAGTCCATCCAGCGAGACTGCGATTCCGCGTGCGCAGGAGTTCGCGTGGGTGGCGGCGACGTCACCGTCGCTGCCGCCATAAAAAGATGCCCGTCGGTAGGGGATTCCCTGAGGATTTTTGGCCGCGGGGTGTTTTCCCACAAATGCGCCTCTCCCAAAACTTTCCGGGACAATTGCCCAAACGGTCATCTGATGCCCGGGCTATGGCCGACCGGGCCGCTTGACGGACCCTCGCCAAACATTGGCCGAAAACCCCTCCATAATTACGTTGCTTCACTGGCAGTCGAATGCTGCACGCTTCGCGCCTTTTCCACCCGTCCTCGTCTCCCCCCCCTTTCTCCTGCACCATCAATGTCTTCACACATCCACCTTTTCCTCCCCCTCCGCGTCCTCGTCCCTCATCTCCTGCGACCCCTACCTCCGCCTCCTCGTTCCTCTTCCTCCCCCACCTCCCACTCCTCCTTCCCCCATCCCCCCTTCCCTCCATTATGTCCTCTCGCTCTCCCCCCCACGCTACTCCCTCACTCGCCACGTTCACCCATCTCTGCTTGTTCGAAGTCGCTCGAAGCGAAAAACTCTTATGCCCCAGCGCCTTACTTTGCTTTGGGGCATAAGAACTGGTATGGCTGCTGATGTTCCCTCCATTCCCACCTTCCTTTCCGCCGCAGCCGGACTTGACTCAGCAGCGCTTTCGGTCCCAGCCCCGGCTGCGGCGACACAAGGGGCGGGACGATGACGACGACGACGAGGAAGTCGAGGGCGAGGACGAGGATGACGGCGACGAACAAGCAGACTAGCCAGACCGTCCAGTCAGACCAGCCATGCAAACCAACCAGACCAGCCAAGTATATTAACCAGACGAACTGGCCCAGCCAACAGTTCGGACCAGCGAAGCACAGACCAAACTAAGCAGACCAACCTGCCCAGACCAAGCAGACTAGCCAGACCAGCCAGCCAAACTAGCCAAGTAGACCAACCGGACCAAGCAGACCAGCGAGCTGTTCAGAACAGCGAACTGCAAATCTTCAGCTAAGGCGTCAGGACTGAGCTCAAACCAGACACACACACAGACTGCAATGCAAAAACAAGTGTTTTTCGATGGTCGTAGTGGTTGGCGCTGCCTCCCTGGACCTCCCCTGGACGACTCTCGCCCGAATCCTCAGCCAAGGCTTTGAGACTAAGCTCGAACCAGACCAACCAGGCCAACCAGACCAGATGCAGAAAAAACGCAATGCAGAAAAGCTGCAAAGCAAAATGAGACTGCAATGCAAAGCAACCGTGTCTCGGTGTTCGCAGTGGTTGGCGCTCCTCGTTCTCGCTCGTGCTCTTTCCTCCGATCACCCTCAGCGTGTCGCAAGAGTAACAGCTCGGAGAACTCGATCGAATCGACCGAAAACCCTACTATCGCTGCTGGTCTCCCGTTGCAACTGCTCTGGGGGACGGGCGCTCCTTTTGATTGGGCACGCCGGCGCTAAGGTAAGCGCGTGAGTACACTGAAACGGAGGAGAATTTGTCTTGACCCTCCACAATCCACACTCATATTTTTTCCTAAGCATACCTGCGAGCCGACGCTGGCTCAGTTCAATATAAAACAAATATATGCATAGAGAGCGAGCCGACACTGACTCTGGTCAACAACCAAAAAAACATGTATATAGAGCGAGCAGACACTGGCTCTGTTCAACACAAAAAGAGGAATATGCATAAATATGGAGGTGCCGCTCACTCACGAGCGACTGCATTGAACAATCTCATCCCGTCGAGGACCGCCCGGCCGTCGGTGTCCTGGCACGGCTCAGGAGCCCCTGCTCCTGCTTCTCGAGGCGGGTCGCCTTGACTTCAGCACGCAGCTCCTTCTCCTCGGGCCACCACTTCGTGTCTCTGTCCACGAGTAGCGTATCGCATAGACGGCAATGCACCTTCTCCTTGTACAGGTTGGTGCCCACCGTCGAGAGATGATCGGCTGGGTGCGCGCGCTCATCTGGGTCAACTCGACTTGAAGTCATGAGCTTGTCCTTTCATTGCTCGGTGCCTTTGCCCTTCGGGATGTCTTCCGCGTCGTGACTGGCTCTGCGGCACTTGCTGCATGCGGCAACCACCTGCATGTATGCCTGTAGAATATCTTCCTCCAATACATCGCCAAGGTCGTGCTCCACCTGCTTGTAGGATGCGTGCCTCAACCGCTCATGCAGCCTGCGAGCCTTGTCCATCGGTAAATCCGTAGTCTTCTTCCTGGTGGTCGATCCCCTCGACTGCTCGGTCTGCCCGGGAATCTCGACCCATTCATCGCCATCATTCGGTGCAAGGACGTTGTGGTTGGCCTACTTGCGGGCCCTCCCTCGGCTGACGCTCGCACCGGCCCACCACCGTCCGACAGACTGCACGTGCCACCAACGTAGCACTAGCTCCACCGGCGCCTCATCCGACCTCCTCGGTCTCGGCACCCGCGGCGTCCATCGTGTAGATCTCCTTCGAGTCGTCCAGGTTCGCCGTATCGTCCGTGCTCTGGTTCTCGTCCGATATGGTGTTCACGTCCTCGTGGTGCTGGATGTCGTTTGTTGAGTCCGTCTCCTCCAAATTATGCTTCTCCGTGAAATCCTTCTCGTAGCGCTCGAGAGCCTCCTTGGTCGATGCGTGTATCGCGCGTGGGTTGGAATCCTCCGACGCTTCGCTTCTTGGTCCAGTCCCGACCAACCGACCATGTCCTCGAACCTCTCGTAGTAGAGGTCGTCCTCGCGCTGGCCCAGCATCATCCGTCAACGGAGGCAGCGCTTAGGCGCTGGTCGAGCTGCACGAGCATTGCACCTCAAGTCCGCGATGCAGTCCTCGAAGTAGGCGTCGCCTTCCCGTGCGAAGGACTGGTCGGCAGGCCGATGCCGACGAGGATACGTCAAGCGGTAGTGCTCGCCCCTGCGACCCTTCAGCTCCATCCGTTGCTCGGGGATCACCTGCTCTGCCAAGGGGCCCTCCGTCAACGGGTACTCGCCCGTCCAGAGCACGCACCTCATGTAGTCGCCAGCGCGGACGTCCTTCTTGGTAAGACAGTCGGCGAGCATCTGCTTGGTGTTCACCCACTTGCTCACCACGTTGTCGAACTCTATGTCGTTCCTGAGCGACTCTATGTCGATGAGCAGCCAATTCCCGGACGGGGCCGCCCCTCGCTTCTGCGGCAAGTCGAAGAGCGACTTACAGTCCGTGACCTCCACCATCTTCATCGCCATTACGTCGTCCATGTGGGTCCGGTAGCACAACGCGCGGTGCAATTCCACCAGGCGTTGTCTCAGCATGTCGCCACTCTCGACTGCTTCCAGCGCTGCCATCGTCTCGGCTGCCAGGGTACTCCGTACCACTCGCTTGATGCGATGCGATCGCCACAATAGCGGGGTAACCTTAGCAGGCTGCCCGCGTAGGAACTGATCGTCGGTGTTGTCCGCGAGCAAGATGACCAGGCCAGCCTGGCTAGCGGTCCTCGTCTTGCCCACGCTCCCGTGGCTCGAGTCCCCCACTGCCACCGCAATCACGTCGTCCATGTCCAGCTTCTGGAAGGTTATGTCCACGTGGTCGGTCTTGGCATCGCTCACGAGCTCGTTGAAATTTCGCAGGTCCTGCACCGTCAAGTCGCTGTCGTGAGCCCGAGCTTGACTTTCCACCGGCCGGAACGATGACTCCATCCTCGTAGAACGCACCAGCCGCTGAATCTGGCCGTTGCCACTGTGGAGCATAGCCCCCGCCGTGGCCTTTGCCTCTTGGCCTTGCGACGCTCGGCCGAGAAGGGCACCTTCTCGATACTCTCCGCGTACTCCTTCTGGCTGCATGTGGTCGCGCCGTCGTCGTTCTGCTTGAGGAAGCGCCCACAGTGGTGGAAACCGGTCTTCGCCGTCTGCCACTTGCCGCAGCAGTGCACTTTCCTCAGCTTGGCCACCTGGCTCGCGAAGAACACTGGCGATCCCGCGACGAGGTCGTCGTCGACGTGCGTCCCGATCAGGCCGATCAGCTCCCCCTGTCGTCGCGAAAGATGAAGAGGGCCGGGCGCAGCTTAGATCTCGAAGCCGCGGGAAGTGACAGGATGGCATCGCGGTGCTCCTCGTGCCACGGCAGGGGTGCATCGTTCAACCCGTAGATGCCCTCCATCGCCTTCAGGACAGTCCCTTCTGGGACGAATGGCCACCCCAGCTCCGGCACCGCGGGCATGCCGCCCTTGGGAACCCGGAAGTACACGCGCCTGGAGCTGTCGAGATATCTCCCATTCAAAAATGCCCACTCCACGTCGCCCTGCTAGAGACCCCAGCCAGGCTGGCTGGCAGCTTCCTGAATGATCACCGCCGCGGCCGCGTCCGTGAGCGTCGGTGCGTTCGTCTGCAGCTCGCCCGCGAGCAACTGCTTGTCCTTGTAGCTCGGGACGATGTTCCGTGACTTCGCCTTCAGCGGATGCTGCTCGTACGAGAGGCTTCCTCTCGCAGGGTCATTCTTGTCGGTGCGGACGCGCCTCGCAGGCAAGATGTCCGCCTTCTCGACGCCCGCGAGCTCCTCTTCACTCGGCCACTCCACAGCGTCGTAATGAATCCACTTACGCCACTCTTCCAGGTCACTCGCATCGAACGCCGTCTTCCGTTCTCGCTGGATGTTGCGTAGTTCCCGACCTGTCTTCGGGGTGACCTGCTTCTTCACGGTGCCAGTCCTCCTGGCCACGAATGCGCCCCTCAAGCGGTTCTTCACCTCGAGGAAGAGCACTTGGTCGTCGATCTCGTCGCCCTCGGTCTTCGGGGCGCGACTCTGCTTGAGAGCTTCGAGACTCACGCGGAGGCGTTCGCGATCTGCTTCGAAGTCGCCAGGTAGTGATCGCTTGTCCTTCGTGCTCAGGTTGTTGCTCAGGATTGCTTCGCACAGCGGCCGCGCCCAGGTCCGTGGCACGTCCCTCCCCAGCTGCATCAGATACATGTGGGTCATAAGCCGTAGCATATCCGTGTTGTTCTACATCTCTAACACCCTGCACATCGTCTCCATTTCCAGGTAGTGGTGGTACTTCGGGTAGCACTCCAGGCTCAGGCGCGCCCTCCTCCCTGACCTGCTTCTCTCGCGTGGGAGTAGCCTCGCGCCTCCTCGGGGGAGGCAGTGGAGCTCCCTCTGCCCGTGGCGCCTGGGTAGCCGACGCGTCGCCCGCGGCGCCCTCGTTGTCCGAGTCGCCGTCGCCCTTCTCGGGGCGCCTGTCGCGCTGGCCACCGAGCCCGTCAGGTCCAGGACCGCGCTCGTCCACGAAGCCCTTCTGGAGAGTTGGTCCTCCGCGCCACTGCGACAGCTGCCTGGCGAGGTCCTCGTTCTCCACCATCTCGGCTTCACCGCGAGAGGCGTGCCGCGCCTGCTCGGGCGTCGCGAGCAACGGCGCCCCGCGGTAGCTGAGGCGTAGCCTTGCATGGCCCTCGGCCGCCAGCGCAATGGCTGGACCGCGCCGCCCGTGCTCGCCCTGTAGCCGCGACGACTTCACGTGCTTCACCACGCGCCAATAGAACACCAGCAGGCCCGGCACAAACGGCCCGCGCGGCTGGCGAACCCGACCAACCGTGGCCCTTCTCACTGCATCGTTGCTGTCCAGTTCGAAGAGCGCCCGGTTCGCCGCAGCGCGAATCTGCTCGGCCCTCCTGGGACCGCCCTCGAAAAGTGCCGCGCTCTGCGCCGCCAGCTGCCTCTGATCGCCCTCCATCGCCTCGATCAGCGAGGCCGGGACGCTAGGCGATCGTCCCAGTACATGCTGATAGGGCGCGAAACCATTCTGTCGGATGCGGTTGTTGCGCGTGCTCGCTATCGCCGAAATCTACGCGGATGGGTCGTCACTCCTGGTGAGCTGCACATCGCGGTTCAGGCGCTGGAAATGGTCCTCGAAGAAAGCGATGGCCCGTTCCACTCTGCCTTTGAGCTGAGGCGCCTCTGCCGGGGCCAGCCTCATCAGGATGTTGTGCTTCTCGCCGATCTCCGCGAAACGCTGCGCGATGGGGCCCTTCGCTGCGTCGTAGTATAGTACCTTCGGAGGGCCAGCCCATAATAGCCATCCTTGCGAGAAACAGCGAAGGCTCTCCTCGCCCGCGATGGATCGCACTGCCGTAGTAGGTATGATGACCCTGAAGCTCGACGCGTCATCCAGAATCACCATCACCCTCAACCGTGCATTGTCTGAGAGAATCACCTCGGCTTTGTCCAGAAACACATTCTCGTTGAACTCCGCCGAGAATTTCAGGTTGGCCGATCTCGTCGTGTTGGGCCTCCCGAGCTCCTAGCACGCGACAAAATCCAATTTGGCCGCCGCGTCGAGCACCTTCAGCGACACCCCGTAGGACTTCAGGCGTCGCTTCAGCGCGCGTGCCGACGGATGGCTCAGGTTCAAATTAGGCTTCCTCAGGGCGCCCCACTGAGCCGCGGCGATGTCCGAAGGTCTGTCGCCAAAGCTCTCACCTTCGCGATGTAGGTCTCGATGTACTGTGTCTGCTTCACAATCGTCGGGCTTGAATGCTTCTGGTCGGCTGCCGAGCGAGGGCGCCGTCGCAGGGGGCGACGTCTGCACCTTCGGCTCCTTCACGTAGATCGCGACCACAATGTCGGTTGGATGCCTCGCGGCCAGCTCGACCGTCGTGAAATTCGGGTCGTCCGCGTAGGCGTCGGAGAAGTCGGCCAGTGCGCCCTCGTCGGCGCACGTGGCCTAGATGCGCCGCACAGCTCCGCGAGGCGCAGGGATTGCCTCGTTCTGTCTCAGCACGCGTACGTCGATCAGGTCCACTCTCAGCTTGAACTCCTCGGCTACCGCGCGCATGGTCCTTGATCTGGAACCTTCGTCGCGTCGTCTCCGATACCCAGCTTCTTCAGGTCGGTGCGCCGCGCCAGCTCATGAGCACCAGCGCTCACAAGCGTCTTGCCCAGGTCGTCTGGCCAGGCGCTGGCCCGCGAGAGCGACGCGCCTCGTCCGACCGCGTCGGCGCGTTCGTGGCGCTGGTCACACGTGCGATCGAGCCACCGCGGAAAACATGAACCGCTGGGCGCCGGCATGCGCGTGACCTTCCGAATCGGCGCACCGCAGTCATCCGTCAGTCCGAACATGCACTGGTGTAGCGTAACCATCTCGCACAGTGGACGTCGCTCACCATGCCAACGCAACAGATCCATGATCGGCCCCTCGTCCCAAGGACGGCTCGCGAGAGGATTCTCGCCGATGCCGATGCGTCCACCCTCAGCTTGAGTCCTGAGCACCTTCGCCGACAAGTCCACCCATGGCCTGAACTCATCGACGAGGTCGCCCACTCGGTCGCCCATGCCCTGGGCTCGCTGAAACTCTTGCACGTTCGAGAAAGGTGCGCATGGGGACGCGACCGAGACCATCCAAGGTTCGAAGGTCTTTATCAGGACCAGGAAATCCGAATGGGTCTGAGGGTCCTTGATGTTAACCCCGACCGACGAATCCGAGGGGGTCGCGTTCGCATGACCACCCTTCGAGGCTACACGAGTGAAGCGAGCCTCCTTCGCAAACAGCTCCCACAGGAAGGCCTCCCCGTTGTAGCGCAGCACGTCGAAGATGACCGAATACTCTTTCATCGACATGTCGATCCGTTCGAGCGTGCTCTTCTTGAATATGCCCTTGCTGCCGGTCTTCAGAGCCTCCGCGACCCGCGAGTCGGCGCACTCCTTCACCTGGAATCCCGGCTCGTACTCCTGCAGCGTCTCCGCGACCAGGAATGCGCCCGGCTCGAGCTGCATCTCGTCCACGCGGAACCTCTCGAAGAGGGGCTCCGGCTCGTGCGACTCAAAGTCGGGGCCGAAGAGGTCGAGCTCATCATGCCCACCAGGCAGCTTCACCAGCTCCCCGGCGTGCACCCCGAGCTCCTGGAAGTCCGCCCAGCGGCCGTCCTCGCGCACGTAGAGGTTCGCTTTCCACTCGGCTAAGTCTTTCCTACTCGTCTGGCCGACTTTGTCGCCGGGGATCTCGAAGTACTCCTGCAGCACGTGCTTCTTTCCGGTGCCCACCGGGATGATCCACTTCTGCTTCGACTCACGTTGTGCTCCATCGAGTCCCTTGAACTGCTGGCGCGCCTCCACCTTGATGGGCCTAAGACCGTACTTTGCCAGCTCTGCCTCGGCGCGATCAAGTCATCCGCGTCCTGCAACTGCGATCGAGGCCCCGCAGCCCACTAGGGGGGCTGGCACGACTTCGCTGGAGATCATCACCTCGAGCTCGGGCCTGTCCAGCACGATCGGATCGCTGTCCAGGTTCACCATCATGTCGTAGTCCTTCTCGAGCTGCATGTGGATGTAGTTCGTGTCTGGGCCTCGCATCTGGCGCCTCACGTCCACGCGCGACGGTGCTGCACGCGCCAGAGCGTTCATTTGCCCAGAATCCAAGCCGCCGTAGACGAGGAGTCGACTTCGACCCTTTGCCGCGGCCCTTGCCCTTGGCTGGCTTCCTGGATGACCCGGTGGCCAGGCGGTCCGAGGCGTTGTGGTCCATCCGACCACACCTGCTGCAGCGCTTGTCCTTCGACTTGCCGCCGTCCTTGCCCTTTGTTGTACCTCTGCCGGGGCTCTCGCCTGCTGCTTGGCCGCCGGCTGCCGCGCTCTCGTCCACCACGCCGTCGGCCCTGCCTTCGAAGAGTTCCCTTGCCGCCCGCAGCTTGTTCATCTTGAGGCGGCTCTCTCGCATCGTGACGAGGGTCTGGTGGTAGTCGTCGTCTTCTCTGGCCAGGAACGTGTCAGCTTCATCCTCGATGTAGAACAAACGACTGCTATCCCAGTCACCTTCCTCGTCTTCCTCCGTGCACGTGTAGCTCCGCGATCATCGTCCCATTCATGCCAGTGCCCGTCGTCGTCCTGGGCCCAGTACTCACCGTGGTGTGGGTCCTCTCCATCAGCTTGCGCGTTCTCGGCATCATTCGCATGCCTCGTCCACTTCCAGCCCGTCCTGTGGCCTTGTCCTCGGTGCCTACTTCCGCCGCGAGGCAAGAGATTCTTCAGCGCAGTTGAGATCTGCACGAAATTGAACGTCTCATCAGCCCTCGCGATCACCAGGTTACGTTCGTCCTTGTCCAAACGCTACGCTTCAGCGCGTGGTACCCTGGCTCGTTCGAACTGATCTTCGTGTCCAGGTCCACTTCCTCCAAGTTCCGTCTCGCCAACTCCATGGCCGTACAGAACGCCGCCATTGGCTCTTCACCTTTCCTCTCGAAGCGTGTGCAGCCGAAGAACGTGTCGAACGCCTGCGGCAATTCACCGAAACCGCTCTTCGCGAAGCGTTCGGTCCCTAGAAACTGAAGCAGCACGTTCGCTCCATCCTCCACGGCGTAGTCTCTCGGGTCCGTCTGCTCGATCATCACGCTGATAGAGTTGTCAGCACCGAGGAGGTTACGATACAACTTCGGGCCTGGGGCTGTACGTTGCTCCTTCGATTCGCATCCTAGCTCCTCCGCTTGAACAGCCCTCTTGTACCTGGTTAAATCCTTCAACGTTTCGCCCTTCAGCACCGGGATCTTAGGATCAACTGAACTGTTGTGGTTCTCTCCACTCGCCATGGCACGTAGGGATGGTTAGTCCCCGCAATCTCGTCCTGGAGTCCGTGGGGCCAACCACGGAGCTCCGCTACCAATCTCGTTCTCGCTCGTGCTCTCTCCTCCGATCACCCTCAGCGTGTCGCAGGAGTAGCAGCTCGGAGGATTCGATCGAATCGACCGAAGCCCTGCTATCGCTGCCGGTCTCCCGCTGCAGCTGCTCTGGGGGACGGGCGTTCCTTTTGCTTGGGCCCAAACGCCGGCGCTAAGGTAAGCGTGTGAGTACAGTGAAACCGGGGAAAAGGGGTCTTGACCCCTCACAATCCACAGCGGTGCGCCCATGGACCTCCCCTAGACCACTCTCGCCCGAATCCTAAGCTACGGCTTCAGGACTAAGCTCAAACCGCAACATCCAGACCAGCCAGACAAGGTACAAACAAACATTGAAAGTTGAAACAACTGCAAAGCCGAAAACAATTGCAATGCAAGATTTTTCCAGTGGTCGAATTGGTTGGCGCTGCCTCACTGGACCTTCCCTGAACCCTTCTCGCCTGAATCCTAAGCCAAGGTTTCCGGACTAAGTTCAAGCAGCCCCGACCAGGAGAAACCTGACCGGACCCAAAAAAAACTGCAAACCGAAACAGATTGTAATGCGCAACCACATGTTTTTTTGGGGGGGTCATAGTGGTTGGCGTTGCCTTCCTGGACCTCCCCTAAACAACTTTCGCCCGAATCCACGGGTAAAGCGTTAGGACCAACCAGGCCAGCCATACCATATGCAAACAGCAAAATGAAAACAAACACTGCAAAACAAAAACAACTGCAAATAATCAGCGGCTGTTTTTCGGTAGCCGTAGTGGTTGGCGCTGCTTCCCTGGACCTCCCCTGAACTACTCCCGCCCGAATCCTGAGCCAAGGCTTCGACTTCAGGGCTAAGCTCAATCCAGTCCAACCACACCAGTCAGACCAGATCTGAAGTTTTAAGCTCAAGCTTAAGGCTGGAACTTCAAGCTTGATCTTTGGAAACGTGGTGTCAAGCCGTGCGCTGCACGGCTCAGATCTTTACATCCGTTCGCCCACCTTTCTCCCGCAGTCGGCATTCACGCGGCAACACCCGTGGGAATACAGTCGCGCCTCGTGCGATTGCGTGGGGTGCGCGGAACCAGCGCGCACAAGCACGAGTAACATGTTACTGCGTCGAAGAATGCGAAGAAACAAACACATGTTGTGGGCCCCGTGAAGTTGGATGTCCCGGACTTCCGGGCGACTCCCATCGGCTCCCGACGTCTCCGGAGGTCCCTATGGAACTGCCAGGGGCCTACAAAGGACCCCCTTCTCCTTCAAAACAAAAATCATACCATTTCTCCGGGGGCGGCACCCCGCATGATAACCTCGCCAACGAATCTGGAAGTAATCCTCCTCGCCGTCATTCTGAGTGCAAAGGCCCTCTTCCTCTCTCCTCATCGCCCTTCTCCTTTTCGCCCTAGCGGAGTCCCTCCTCCCGCCCCCTGCTCTGCGTCCTCCTCTTCTTCCTCCTGCCATGGTTCCCCGTCTACCTCCCCCACCCCTCTTGCAAGGGTGCGCATGTCGATGTGCCTTGGCGCCGTCGGCGCCTCGGCCGGCAGGAGCGCGCTCTCCGATGGACAGATCGCGAAGCCGTTGGGGTAACCCCGCGGGCCAGGCCGCTGGGGCAACCCCTCGCGAGGCTGGGACGCGGAAATACGCCGCTGGGACAAACACGCGGGAGCGAGCCGTAGGGACAACACTTCCTCAACATTCAAGACATCCTCACGATTTGCCCCCGCGGGGTGCTCTAGCGCTATGCCTGCCGCAATACGCCGATGGCCCGCCTCGGAGTCGAACAGAAAGTGCGGGCCCTATAGGGAGGCTTCCCCCCCCACGAGACTTCCTCGCTATGCACTCACAGGCGAGGCTCCCGCTCGAGACATTCTCACGATGTGGCCCCTTGGGTGCTCAACTCAAGTGGTATGCTTGCTACAGTACGCCGATGACCCGCTTGCATTACTAACATGAAGTGCGGGCCCCACAATGAGAGGGCTCCCCCTCAAGACTTCCCCGCTATGCACTCACAAACACGAGACCCCCGCTCAAGACATCCCTGCGACATGTCCCCTTGGAGCGCTTGAGTGTTATGCTTGAAATTCCCGCCTCGAATTAGTAACATGATCTGCGGGACCCATAAGGAGGGGAGTCCCGCCTGAGACTCTCGCTACTCACTCACACACGGGGCTCCCGTTCCAGCTATCTTCACGAATTGCCCCATCCCTTGAGGTGCTCGAGTGCTCTGCTTGGTACGCTATGCCGATGAGTCGGATTAATAATATGAAGCGCGGGCCCAATAGGGAGGGAGCTCCCGCCTGAGACTTTCTCTCAATTCACTCACGCGCCAGGCCCCCGCTCGGAACATCCTCACGATTTGCCCCCTTGGGACTGCCTGCTGCAACACGCCGATAACCCGCTCGGATTACGAACATGAAGTGCGGGCCGCCTCACGACATCGCCCCCTCGCGATGCACTCACAGACGAAGCCCCCACTCAAGACATCCTCACGATTTGCCCCCTTGGGGTGCTCAAGTGTTATGCCTGCAGCAATCAGCCGATGGCCCCCTCGGGTTACTAACATGATCTGCGGCTCGCATAGGTAGGGGGCCCCCTCCTGAGACTATGTCCCGATGCACTGTCAGACGAAGCCCCCGCTCGAGGCATCCTCACGATTTGTCCCCTTGGGGTGCTCAAGTGCCAAACCTGCTGAGGTACGCCGATGGCCCGCTCGGAAAACTAATATGACCTGCGGGCCCCACATGGGGGGGGTCCCGCCTGAGACTTCCCCGCACGCCACTCACAAACGAGGCCCTCACTCAAGACTTCCTGATTATGGGATGGTGGTGACTGGTGAACACGATGGTGTGATGGGATCGATGGTGATGAGTGCGTGCGTGTGAGGCGAGGATGTTCATGATGACGATGCTGGTGGCAGTGGTGAGGCTGATGGTGATGATTCTGGCGTGCTGCTGAGTGGGTGAGTTAATGATTGCTGAGTGTGGGCGGGGGTGGATGATGGCGATGGTGGTGATGATTCTGAGTCTGTGAGTGTGTGTGTGTGTGTCTGTGTGTGTGTTTGTGCATGAGTTCGTGAGCGTGTGAGTGCGGAGGGTATGGATGGGGGAGGAGATCCCGCGCAGGAGGTGTGCAGAGAACATTAGCAAACAAGTTTGTATATGGAGAACTCCTCCCCCTCCTCCTCGTCCTCCCCCCTCGTTACGGTCAACGTGCCAGCGACGTCAAACACACACAACCATATCCGATGGGCGCCGCCTCTGTTGGGAAGCGTCCCAAGCGCCCTTTCTGGGGGAAGCTTCTTCTTGGTGCGGGTTGCGCATGACACCCCCCGCCCCCAACGCTCGCCCGCCCGCACGCAAGCACGGAACCGACTGCCACCCCGTACACTTACGTCGGGGGCGGAAGAACCACCCTCAGAATGAGGACCCGTACACGCGAGGACCTCAATGCACTTGAGCGAGGAATCAACCAGAACGGGGCTGCTTGTCAAAAGCAGGTCTGTGCCACAACCACAGTTCACAGGCGTCGGTGTGGTCACTCCCCCACTGGGTATAAGGGGGTGGGAAGCAAGGCTTAAGGTGCACGGATGGTTCACACCTGACATCGCTCGTGTATAGCAAACCGATTGCGATCGATATTCTGGATCGACTTGGCATCGGAATGTCAACTAAAGGCCCCGAAGAGCACAGTGAGACACGAGTGGAGACCGCAGCCCAAAGACGTACGCCTGCTCTGGAAACGCCCGAAACGAATGATCTGCGACCGCCGACTTCGACCAGCGTCTCACGATGGAGGCCTTCACGATCTGACACCTCGCACCCCATCACCATTACCACCACATTCATCATCATCAGCAGCAGCATCCGCATCGTCAGTTTCATCATCAGCATCATCACCACCAGCATCATCATCAGCATCATCAGCATCGCCATCATTATCATCACCATCAGCATCAGCATCAGCATCACCAGCATCATCACCATCACCACCAGCATTAACATCATCAGCATCATCACCATCATCACCGCCATCCTCATCATTATCAGCAGCATCGCAAACATCATCACAATCACCACAATCACCGTCACCATCACCATAACTCATCAGCAGCAGCATCATCATCATGTTTATCACCATGCTCATCAGTAGCATCAACATCCCCACATTCGCCGTGACCCCTCCTACTCATCCTGCACCTCCTGCTCCTGCATCTGCTCCTCCTCCTCCTCCTGCTCCTCCTCCTCCTCCTCCTCCTTTGTGTCCTGCTCTTCTCCCTGCACCCGAAAAGCGCAGAACAGAAACTCGCCAGACTGGCCTGAGGCTCGACGCCTCCAGGCAGCCCCCCTTGGGGGGCGCAGAGAGGAGCATCGGCCTCACAGAAATCGGGGAGACGTAAGACTCGGGTACGGGGAACTCGGGTTGGCCTGGCGGGGCCATCATGAAAGTGACGAGACCCAATCTGAAATTTGACGCGAGCTCCCCCTGCAAACATCCCACGAAAACTGGACCGTCAAACTCCAGGACGCGCTCGTCGGAAACGTCGGCAAGCCCGAGTTCCAGCACACTCGAGTCTCACCTTTCCCCGAAGAGAGAACACACACACACAGAAGTGACACCCGTGCAGCAGAAGACTCGGCTCGGCTCTACACAACTCACGGCTCAGAATGGGGAGCCGCGATGGGGGGCCAACCCACCAGGGGGGGGGAGGGCTGGCGGCGGGCAAAAGGGGGTGGAGGGAGGGGGAAGGCTTCTTAGAAGGAGGCTGCTTCTTAGAAGGCGCCGGGGTTATATCTATAGATAAGGCCAGCGCCTTCTAAGAAGCAGGGGCGCTTCTAAGAAGCCCTCCCCCCTCCCCCCACCCCCTTCCGCGCGTGGCTGAGAGGGGGGCGCGAAGGGGGGGCCACGAGGGAGGGCCACGACGGGGGGGGCCACGCGGGGCCCCC